TTTCTGGGGCACAATGTTAGGAGAATGTATTTGTTGATCACCTACTTACCATATTTTTAGAACTGTGACAATATGATGGACACTGCCTTTAAGATAGTCACAGTCTAGTGGAGTCAGAAGACTTCTTGGAAAAGAGTTGTCTGGATTAGCCTAATATGACACTCTTCTTTTTTTTTTTAATTTCTTTTCAGCGTAACCGTATTCATTATTTTTGCACCACACCCAGTGCTCCATACAATACGTGCCCTCCCTAATACCCACCACCTGGTTCCCCCAACCTCCCACCCCCCGCCCCTTCAAAACCCTCAGGTTGTTTTTCAGAGTCCATAGTCTCTCATGGTTCACCTCCCCTTCCAATTTCCCTCAACTCCCTTCTCCTCTCCATCTCCCCATGTCCTCCATGTTATTTGTTATGCTCCACAGATAAATGAAACCATATGATAATTGACTCTCTCTGCTTGACTTATTTCACTCTGACACTCTTCTTTATGCATGGTTAATATCTCCGAGAGCTGCTGTTCTCTTTCAGACTCAGTAGTCTCTAGGTGCCTTATTTCTAGAGTGCTTTCTCAGTCTTCAGAAAGAAGAGTGTTATAGAGCCAAGGCCCAAGTTACCCAAATGCCATTTGTGATGGAGTTAGGAGTTGGGGACTGTTGAGGTGAAGAAACCTGCAGAAAGATCCATAAGGGCATAAGTCCATGATGCTTAAGAAGTACCAACAATCAAATGAAGTCAGGATTTACAAACTAGGCAGAAACTGGAATGGAGTAGAAGCAGGCTAGAGATACAGGCAAATGCTGTGGGAAACCTGCCTGTTGCATGCAGTGGCCCTTCAGTGGCGTTTGGGCAGGTTTGTATCAGGATACAGGGTTGAGGCAGACACCAAATAATGAAATCACGGCTTGTCTGTTAGGGTAGCTTTTAGTCGCACATAGAAAATTTAACAGGCTTAAACAAATAGGGGTTCTACTTATCTACTCAAAGTCAATATGTGACAAGCCAAATCCATCACCTTGCTTTCTTCTCCCTTTCTGCCTTTTGCCAAACCATGAGGAGGGAACACAATGTGATGGAAAGACAGGGGATCTGTTCCAAATGTCAGGTCTGTCAGTTAGCTCCCATCTTGTTTCCTGTAACTTGTCGAGGACTTCTGGTTGCAAGTAAAAGAAACTCAACTCAAACTAACTTATTTATAAAAAAGAGATTATATTAAATCACCTAACAGAAACATCCAGGGCCTCACATACCTCAAGCATATCTAGACCCAGGTAGTTAAGCATCATCAGATCTCTGTCCTCCTTCTTCTGTAAGCTCTGCTCTGGACATTATAGCTTCATTCTTATGTGGGCTCTCCCAACATTGTGCCCATGGATTGGTGGGTCCCCAAAGAAAAATGAATGCTGGAACAAAATTAAGGAAAAATTAATGTCAGGCAGGTAAAAACTACCATTATGATGGTAATAGCACCCTCTCACATTCCACTTGTGATAGGATTGAATGGGAGAATACACATAAAAAGAGTTATATGTAATTAGATGTTATCTCCTAATATGCTCAGGCTTCTGTCCTCTTTGATGGTTTCCTTTTTTTTCCCATCCCCAAATTTAGCCTACTTGGGTAATAATGTATTTTGAAGTCATAAAAATTATTTGGTAAGATTTAGGAAATAGTAACTTTCATATAAGAACTCAGATTTCTGACTGTTCTTGATAAGTAGCAAGATCTGGCAATAATCAACTGTGCCAGAATGGGGTTCCCCCTCCCAAGGGGCAGGTACTGCCCAATCTGCCCCCAGGCTCACCCTCAGAGACATCTGGGATCCTTCTTCTGTCTTCACAGCCTCATGCCCCACTACTTTCCTCTGGAAACCTCCTACCTTCTGCCTGGTACCCTCATTTCCAAGGCTTTGCCCTTAGGCTTTCCTCATCCTTCTTACTAGTCTAAATCCCTTCTACCCTTCGAGGCTAATTAAAGCACCAGGACTCCCTCAAACCTTCTCTAAGCATCCCAGCTCACAGAGCTCTGTCTTCTAGGCAAGGGCATCTTCTATGTAAGGACAGCCAGTGACAACCAGGACTGCACAAACTGTAAGTCATCAAGTGGCCATGAGCGCAGGAGGGAGCCACTGTGAGATGGACAGGAACATACAGAGAGATGGCAGAGGCAGGCTCTAACACTAGCTCTGTGATAGAAGACAAACAGGAGTTGGACAAGCAAAAAAATTATTGAAAAATGTATTTCTCATGTACTTTGAAATAAGCCTCTATATTTATAATTCAAAATATAGAAACACACAAGATGTTCTCCTTTACTGCAACCAGCCTTTAAAGAATTATATTGATAGCAAGACTTAGTTTTAGAAATAAAAATGTCAAGGTAGTTGGTGTTCAGGGTTTACTCTGCAGCCTTGAAGGAGACTTGTGAGTAGGAATTGTGGTACAGCTGGGATAAGAAGGCTGAAAAGTGATTCTCCGTGATTGAGGGATGAGGTGCTTCTACATTTTGTTTTAATTCCCTCTTTCGGTAAAATAGCATTTGGGGATTGTACTCAGAGAGCTAATAACAGAACAATTTAATCTACAAAGTGGCCAAATGGGAGTAAACAGTGTGTGATGTAAATAGTTCTCTATGATTCAGAGAGTAATAATAGCATGATCTACCATTTAAAAAATATCCAATGTAGCAATTTAGATAATAGTGATGTGCCTGACCTCTCATTTTTAACTTCTGAGTTAAAAAAGAATAAAATATAGTATAATACGCTTTCAAATAAGTAAAATTATTTCCATATATGTGGATAGGGATAGTAAGGTAAATATTCAAAAATTAAAAATAGCTTTTGTATTAAAGAGGTGAGGAGGCTTATAGGTGATTTTAATACACATTTTAAAGGTATTTAATTTTGTCACATTTCTCTGTCAGCTAAAATAGGATATCTACCCACCTGAAGAAAGGAATGCTGTCTTCTTGGTCTCTAGCTTAAGGAAAACTGATAATGTCACTTTCCAGGCACCACAGAACTAAGAGGGGGAAGGGGATGCTTTAAGTGCAAATTCACCTTCGCCCATCTCACTTCGGTTTTGCCCAGCATCATTTGGTTCTTTAAAGGCATCACACTGCCCCCTGGTGTTCAATAAACTAAAATGAAAACTCAACTGGCTACTACGTTTTCTTTCCATATTTTCTGAATAATCAAGACGATAAGCAAGAAAGAGAGAACACCTCAATACCACCAAATGTATGCATGTCCCATGCCTTGTTAATGTTTTATATTTTTAAAATAGCCTTTACGATGCCACTTTTTTTTTAAGCCCTTAATGGGCAGGTTTACAAACATTAGGTGCCCTCCAGTGGCTGAACTTGTTATCAGGACTTTGGGAGACCCTAAGCACTTTAGATGATGTAGAAATTATTAACAGTTTCCAAAACTTTGCTACTCCCTAATAAAATGGGTCCCTGAAGAAGCAACAGGACTACCAAACTCTTACAGAACCTTCCTTGAGATTCTTTTAAAGTACCTAAGCCAAAGAAAATAAATAAGGATGAAAATAAATAAATAAGGATGTATTTTGAGCAAGCATTGTATAATTAAACAGTAACCACATATAATCCAAAGCAGGACCATATCCTGCCTTAATAGGGTCTGAAGTGTCTATATAATTTGGAGGGCTCTTAAAAAAAATCCTAGAAGTTATCTACTTTTGCAGTTTTATACAATGGAGAGCCCCTCTTAGGGTCTTAGAAGAAAATCCTGGCTTGTAAGGACCCCTGAAACTTATGTTTCATAGCTTCAGGGGAAATTGGCCCCTGATCCAAAGGTATTGTTTAACTGTGGCTTCTGGACTTTACCTTGAGCATTTTAATTCAGAGCCTTAATAAATTAGGGACAAATATAAATTAAGTAACATGGTAGTTTTTTGGTGCCCTTTCTAACCTCTGACCATTGAGAATTGATGCTCTTTGAACCATTCAGCCAAGTAAAAATAAATCAGTTTGTTTATACAGAGACAACTTTGATTGCCTTGATTGTGTTTGGGAAGAATTTAGAAGATCAGATACTTCCAGGAGTCTAGAAGAAAGAGTAGTGGAATTAGTGCAACTATTTAAAACTATTTTAAAAGGCTGAATCTTGAAAATTGGTCTTCATGTTTGGTTAATTCCCAGAAAAGAACTGTATTCACTGATCACCTGTGAAAAACTAGATGTTAATTTCAAAGACTAGAAACCAGTTCAGGTGGAAAAAAGAAATTACTTCTCTTTCACAAAGAAGAGCTTTCTATTATAGGAAGCAGAAGACTTTGTTTTGATATTAATCACAGGAAATAAAAAGCTTCCTTGGGTAAAATCTCCAATAGCCACCTAATCATGTGTTGTTTCAGCTTTTTGGATAGTTCATAACACTTCAAGATATTCTGTCTTCTCTGTCCATTCCTTTATTTACTTATCATATATTACCTGTTTCCTTCCACAGTATGTAAAAATCCATGACCACAGGGCTCTTGACTATCTTGTCCCCAGAGCAGGGCCATAGCATCATGGGATTCCCTTCGCCTCGGGGGTCAGTGCAAATGGCACCCTCTAGAGCTGCACTGCAGTCACTGCCAGAGCCTAGGGCTGACCTTGTCTCAAGAGTCTCTCAACAAGGCTATATTAGTGCACGAATAAGGGATATGCTAGCCTATTTATTATTCTCATTTGAAACATAGAATGAGAAATTGAAAGGTTTTGTGTCCCATAAATCAAAGTACATTTACATGTGCAAACTAGTTTCACTTTGATGACTTTTTCTGACTAAGATGACTCTTGTAGACTGATTTAACTTAGTCCATGATTGTCAAATCAGTAAGAGGGAAACAGTACAGGTCTTCTGATTTCCTGTGTCACATTCCGTGTGTTCCATTTTCCGTTTCCAAAGCCAATTCCTTCAGACTTCTTGTGCTTTTCTGAGTCTGTGACCAAGTAGTGACAGAGCACATGCCATCTTGTTTTGTTTTTCCAGCATTCAGCGAGCCTGGCGTGAGTACCTGCAGCGGCAGGACCCTCTGGAGAAGAGGAGCCCGTCCCCACCCTCTGTGTCCTCAGAGAAGCTGAGCAGCTCTGCCAGCATGAACACCTTCTCGGACAGCAGCACACCTGTGAGTGCCATGTTATCTCTTTATGGCCTGACTGGCCAATCATTTGATCACCAGGTCTTTGGTTCCAAGAAGGAAATGTTGAGATGTGAACAGGTAGCTTGTTGTTAAGTCTATCACCATTGCTCACTTGCTATATTCGAACCCATGGTGAGGGTTTGTCATCTGAGAATGAAGACTTAATTCATAAGCACAACGTGTACTTCATCAAGTTTGAGGGAATCGATTGCACTCGACCTCAACCTAGACTACTCATTTGTGTGTTTGCATTTGTCTATCACCAAGAATATCTTTTTCCTCTTCTTTATAATAGTGTGTTCCCTTTAGTCTGTGCCTCTGGTAGAATTTTGTTGTGCTAATATGATAGAAGATTAGTTTGGTTATAAGGATTATAAAGAGAACTTTTACAGGAAGAATTCAAACGGGTCACAAACTCAGGAGTTGAAACTTAGATGCCTGCAGAGGCCAGGTAAGAAATCCTTGGGGCTGATGTGGGCTAAGCTGTGACTGGCTACTGGAAAACACAGGCCTTACCTAATGGGGGAGTCCTGCTTAGATCCTGGGTGTGTTGCTAAGCAGGGATGTTGGATAGACAGACACTGCCAAATGTGATTTCTTCTCCTAAGGGATGCCATAAATTCAGATGTTTAAATGTTGGCAACTATTAAGAAAATTTAAAATGTGACTAGACCATACCTGCAGATCAGTGATCCCAGAGGCCTCCTGTTTAAGAACCCTTGTACAGAGTTAATGAATGGGAACATCTGCTGAAAGTCTTTATTTAAAAACAACAACAACAAGCAAACAAACATACCAAATGTGGTAGGAAATAAATGATCAGGCAACTGTAATACAGATTGTTGTGAATATGGCCTTTGCAATCATGTATGATAGTCACTGGAATACATAGAAAGAAGTTAGGAAGAGAAATGAAGTAACTATACAAGTGTATTATTTTTTTAAAAAATGTTTCTTGACTACTTTGTAATCATGTTTATTCATGGTTAAAAGGCTCCCCAATGGCCAAAATAATGTATTCACAATGAGATCAAGCAAAGGTTGCTTTGACATGTTTTCAGATGATTGAATTGCATGTTCCTTAATAAGTGGTTTTGTCTGTTATGGATTCTAAAGAGCAGTAACTTGAGTACAAATAACAGTGGCAGGAGATCTATTTTTAGCGGACAGCAGAAATTGAACACTCAGTGACTTGGTGCCTTTTTAAAACAATTTTGAGGGGGGATGACTTACTTGAACTGGTCTTATGATCGCTAGAGGGCGTTGAGGAGCCATATTGGAAAATGTTGCAGGTAAGTATGAAATTATCTCATGATTTGCAAGTCAAAAATAATGTGAAAATTAAGTGTTTAGGATGCCTTTGCTGTGAATGACAATAGAATTAATTTAATAGGAATTAAATGACTGAATATTTTATTTGAAATACGGAAACTGAGTATCAGAAATCATTCTGCCTGTGTGTTAAAGGTTTGGATTTATGGCCTTCCGATTTTCTCAAAGCCCCAGTTCCTGACAGTATCAACCATTGCTGGGTCCAGTGATATGTGATGGCTTTAGTGTTGCTTTAGGGTGATCAACTTTTGACTTTATTGAAATTCTGGGATAATCTACATTTGTTTTATATATACCCTGTTATACCACTTAGATTCTAGCACCTTAAGTATCTTTGTGCATCAATGCACATTCTTCCCCCATGGGTCATCATATAAACGTGATGTGCAATATCTTTTGTACAGCTTTGCTAACAGTTCTACCTTATTTAATTTAGCCTGGCCTCTTCGTCCCCTGATGTTTCTTAGTAAAGAGCAGATTTCCTCCCTCCAATGTCCTCAGCAGGCTGGTTTCTTCTGTGTGTCTCAAGATGAATTGGGAGTGGCACCCTGCTCCACCACTGTATCATCATACCTGATCTCTGAGCTCATGGGACCAGGATAACTCTCTTCATTGTGCGGAAGTCTGGCTCACTCCCGATTGCTTATAAACAGTGAGAATCAAGACATTTTCAGAAAACGTTATTGGAATTAGCTTCAGAAAACAAACAGACCCTGCCCAGAATTCTGGTAGAGATTATTAATTATAACAACAACTTTGGCATGGATGACGGCAGTAACATGACACTAAATATGCAATATAAAATATGAAAATATAAGTGGCTGGAACATCCCCAAGTCTCTAGTTTGTCAGGCAGATAAAATATGCATTTCACAATTTTTAAAAACTTTAAGCTTTATTGTTTGGAGCTGGTATGTCTAGTTAAAGTTGTTTTATTTCTCATGATCATGACTTTGTTTGGGACCTCTTTCAGAAGATTTATTCTTACATCTTTTGGTGGTCACAGCCCCATGAAAGGAAAGTGACTCTGCTCTACTTTGATCAGCCTACCACACAACAGGTTCATACATACTTTCAGGGAGTTCCAAATAGGAAGACTTGGTCTTACTACTCTCTGACCGATAGACCTCAAGTCATGGAGAGGATAAGGATGATCCCTGGCCCACCTTGTCTGTCATAAAGAGATGAGTTTTCTCTAATAAAATGAGTCCATTTGGAACTTCAGGAGTAAAAGCCTGCAGTCCAGGTCAAATGCTCTCAATGAGGTATCTCCCTGGGGGATTCTCTGGGACCCTAACTCCTACCGTTTATCTTCAGCTTGCTGAACTCAGCCCTCTTTCTCTGGGCTTGATCTGTCACTGTTGTTGCATAGACTATTGTCTGTCTTCTTGAATTTGATCAGCTGCCTGTCTTGTCCCTACTATTAACCTTCTACTGTCCTCTAACACAGCCTCGATTGGAGGCCAGTCTGCCCTTCTCTAACCCGTGGGCCTTTGCAGCTGCTCTGCCTGCCCCATGTCTATAGGAGCTGCAGTTACTGCCTATAGGAGCTGTCTGCCCAGGCATGTGCTGCATGGGAAGCCAGCAACCTGAGCTGGGTGAGTCCCTGTGCCAAGCTGAGAATGATGCTCTTGCATGCTTTTGCTCTCTTTTGGCTAAGCATAATGGTTAATATAGTTCTGAGAGTATTTCTGCTCTAAAAAATATAAGAACAGTAATGTTTCAATATGAGCTCTCAAAGTCATCATCTTAATAAGAGCTGAGCACTTGTGATGTGACCGGCACCTTGCTAATGCTTTCCACGGATTATTTCACTTAATCCCCTCACTGACCATATGAAGGAGGTGTATCTCCAGTTTACAGTTGTTGCAAATGAGACCTAAATAGATAACTAACTTGCCTTGAGTTACTCATTGGGCTGTAGCTGTCATGCTTCACTATTCTACTATATTGTACCACTTGAAAATAAGCCTGCATTTAGACATGGTCAAGCAGAGGAAGAAATAATCTGTGCATCAATGCATTTCTAAGACTATTCTACAATTTAGTAGGTATAAACAGTGAATGAAATAATTGAAAAAAGAATCCTCATTTGATTTTATAAATTGCCTCATTCAATGCTCTTTGATTAAAACCTCAAACCTCAGCTGCTCAGTGCCAAATTAAAGAGCAACAGGAGGGAAGATATATATGAAATTATGTTAGCAATTTGCATGTTAAATGTCCTTATACCACAATGTATCATGAGGTAACAGAAAAATTTATTTTAGAGGTAACAATTTCGAATAGCAAGTTATTGTGTAATGGAGCTTGTGGGTGTCAAAGTGAGAAAAAAAGAACTTTTTGATCATAAAAATATTAGTTATTGCATAGAGGACAATAGTGGAAAGTGATTTGTGTATTTGTTATTAGTCAATTTCACATGACCAAGTACTTATACTTTTAGTTCCCAGCTCTGAAAAATCTGTAATTTGTCTAATAGAAGATCATGGACAGAAACTATGAAATGGTACTTTCTAAATGACTTGGTAACCTTTTCACAAATCAATAGGATAGCCCTCAGATTTCAGAAGAATCTTTGGATTGTTTGGCGACTTTTTCAATTCCATTTGTCTCTAATTGGATATATCTTCCTGGCCACACCTACTTATTCTCATGGGTTCCCATATTATTATGGTGTGACCTGTTGGGGACTCTGTGGTTCATGGAACAAAGCCCTGGTTTAGTAACAGGACATGACTTAATAGAAGCTCTGCCACAATTTTTGTGAGTCTAAAGTGTACCACCTAAGAGACCATTCTTCGTCTGCAAACTGGAAGTAACACCCATTTAGAGATGGATTGATATCACTGTGAAGATTAAATAGCACTGCATATGTAAATCGTAGCACAGAGTGTGAGACCCTGAAGGCTCTCAATAAATGTTAGTGGATTCTGTATCTATTTTTGAAAATACTCCATGTGTTCAAAACACTGCAAATCTCGTGAGGAGCAAAAGTGGAATTTTTAACTCTGTTCCTATTAAGGTGCACACTGCCTGCTTCAGATTGATGAATCCACGAGAACCAAATTGTATCTTAAAAAATATATATCCAGAATATGTATGTATGTTCTGAGACTGGAACTGTACAATACAAAGTAATACATCAAGAATTTGTTTTAGTGTTGCTTCTTGTAAAGACTAATTTTCAAGTTCCAAAAGTAAAAGCAGGTGAAAGTATTTTTGCTTCTCAGTGAGTAGGCCTCTTGTGAGAGACCACACCCATATATGTAGTAAAAGCAAGTCTAGATCACTCTGCTCCCTTCATATTTGGGGGAGAAAATGGGGGGATCTGCAGCATGTTGGGGTGAACAGAGTTATGTGGCTTCGTCTCACAGGCAGGTCAATGCCATAGCACTCTTCTAGCAGCTGCACAACTCCAGCCACAAGGTCTTACTTCACTCCTGGTCAGGAAAAATTACGTTCTGAGCAGGTTCAAAGATCAGTGGTCTGGGCCAGCTAAAAACCCCATTACTTTGATTGTCCTGGAGAGAAGGCCATGGAGCCCTCATATGGTTGGGGCTGCTTGGGTTGCCCTCACCTTTAGCAAGAGTTGCTGGATAGTTAGCAACAGGCAGCCAGGTGATCCACCACACCTTCCCAAGTATGCTACC